AGCGTACTTCATCCTTGTCGAGGTTAAGTCGAAATAAAAACTGGAACGTTTGGTTGGCTTTTCTCTCCCCTGCAATACACAAATAATTTTTCCATTTTAAACGAAAGAAATCACCTTTATCTTTATGTTGGCGACACTTCTACAATATCTGATTAGCACAAAGCTGAGTTCTACGCGAACAAATGTTTAACAGAGGGTATTATAAACACTGGGATATTTCTAAAAGTGCTAATCACCTGTCAGTTCCGTTTCTAGATTACGACTATTCGAAATTGCATAATACTAAAAATCTCTGACTATAAGCATGACAGTTATTAATCACTCGCAGATGGTAGGAAAGTGTCAAAATGTTCAAACAACAGATTGCCTGTAGGCCTTGTTAGTTCGTTAAGGGCATAAAATAACGTAGGCTTGAGAATCGGCCTCTTTAAAACAAATAAGACGTCTGGTTTTCTGAACATGGTCAGCATGCCTTCACACGCCAACATTAGCTTTATGTGGAAAATAAAAAAATCGATCTTCAGGCGCTGCAGGTTCTCTCTCGAGGTAAATTATTCCTGTCTAATAGCGAAACACGTATGAATGCGCAAACTCAGTATACAAAAGTAAATAACACAGGAGAGAGTCCGAAAACAAGTTAAGTTAGATTTACGCTCACGTTTGTAAATATTTTGACTAGTAAAATTTTTATAAATGTATTCTGCATGTGAAATGGACATTATCCGCAATAAGGTTGACGAGTACACAAATATGCAGCATTTTAGGCGCGAAAAATTTATCGTCCCAGTTTTCATTATAACCTGTCATGGCAAACTCGCAGTGTAAATTGCTTTTGATCCCGGCTTCCCGAACGCCCATAAACTCGACATCATGGTGGACCGTAGATTCATGCCGTACAGCCCTACTGCCGGGGAGGAGCTATCAGCTGTCTTCAATCGTACTGAGTGTGACAATTTGTCATTTCAGTCTAGAACACCATCAATCAAGCACCATAAGACGGATGCCAAGTGCAACTCTAGCTCCATGGAACACAGATAATCGCTGAATGAGCTGAGGACGGTCCATAAGCTGCAGGAGTCCCCACATTTCGAGATTAAACTGCGTCTTCTCGCATGCCAGGGGGCAGGCAACTACCTATGTTGCAGTAGGCTTGTGACCAGTGCTTATGGTCACGAGATAAGGGACCAGTGCGTTTGCAAATACAGTCTGAGTCCTTGAATTTGAAATAGGCTAATTTATTCCATTCGACCGACTACTTTCTGTGCACATTGTAAAGGTGCATGTAAAAGCGAGATCGTCTCCCAGGAAGGACACGGGGCAAGATGGAGTTACACCGGTGAGTGGAAACTTCGGCTAGATCGCAATTGGTAGCCGGGCCCCGTGCTACAGGTGGCTGAGGTTTGTCTACTGGGGCGTTTTTGTGGGGCTACATAATCTTGTCTGACCCATTTGGCTTCCGTTTTACGTTTGAGGTTAGGATTAGGGTACCGGTTAGAACGGCTTGTAGCTGTGTGGTGTCGCGGCGAAATATCGGCGAGACAGGCGTGTTGGCTTTTGGCTGCCAACTCTGCCGTCAATTGTGGCATATTCTGCAACCTATGTAAATGCGGCGAGAGACAGGAGTAATAAGGCAATCTAATAATTCGTGATTGACTGACAAGCTTTATTGATATTCAGACCACACATTACTACACCAAATGAATAAGAGGCAAATATCACAGAGAGCACAACCAAAGTTAATGCTCGAAATTCCGATCGCGTTCTCCAAAGAGATTTGAAAGTTCTTTGAAGGACAGAGACGCACACAATTCGACGCAAGTCTTCGTCGGGTTTTGTAGAAGAATCCACTATGCATGTTGTAAGTCGCTAAGCAGAGTTCAAGGAGGCGGCAGACGAGGAGGTGAAATCGCGACACCAATTTCTTTTATTTTGGACGCGCTTGTCAAGTTAGTGGCGCGTAACAATGCAGTAATTTATAAGCGTACTGGATTGCTGGAAACATATTTCACAAGTATATGACTGATTTGCCGCTCTTAGCAGAAAAACATTACCGCGCGCTAACACATAGTTGTTAGCCGTCACATTTCATACAAAGACGAATGCACCGACTAACTCTGACAGCACAAATTCCCATCGTACTGAGTGTGACAATTTGTCATTTCAGTCTAGAACACCGGCAGACTGTGAATAGCTCATGGGCGTACATGTACGCAAGATCACGTGATCATTTACCATCAATCAAGCACCATAAGACGGATGCCAAGTGCAACTCTAGCTCCATGAAACACAGATAATGACTGAATGAGCTGAGAGCGGTTCATGAGGTGCACGAGTCCTGACATTTAGAGCTTAAACTGCGTTTACTCGCATGCCAGGGACCAGGCAGCCACTTAAAGTGAGTTGGACTCGACAAATACAGTCCGAGTCTTTGAGTGTCAAATAGGCTGATTTATTCCATGCGACCGACTACTTTCTGTGCAGCGTATAAAGTTGCAATTGGAGACTAGATTACACAGGGGAAGCTGGCGATCCGCCGGTGAGTCGGACTCCTCGCAGTTCTATCGTGCAGCGTGTCTGGGTTCAAAGCTAACACCTGTGCTGTCAGGAATGGCTTATTCTACAACCTATGGAAATGCGGCGAGAGACAGGAGTAACAAGTCAGTCTAATAATTTGTAGCTGAATGAAAAAGTTTATTGATATTCAGGTCACACATTAATAAATCAAATGCGTAGGAGGCAAATGTCTCAGAGAGTAGAACTAGACTAAATGCTCGAAATTCTGATCGCGTTCTCCGAATGGATTTGAAAGTTTTTTGAAGGACAAAGAAGCACAATTTGCGACACAAGTGTTCGTTGAGTGTTGTATATGAATCCACTGTCCTTGTGGTAAGTTCCTAACCAGTGTTCCAACATACCATAAAGAAAAACGTCCCCAATTGGTATTCCGAATGACAAAATTTATTCATATTTAGGTCACAAGTTACGAAATGAAATGTGTGCGAAACAAGTATCACAGAGAGCACAACTAGAGAGGTTCCCAAATCAGAAGTCTGAGAATACGGATTGGGTTGGCCAACCATTACTGCTGAGGAAGTGCGTACACAAAGGCCCTGCAAACAGTCGCTGAGATCGCGCTCTCCAGGCCTGTTATGTCGTCCGTGTCCGCCGTTGAGGTGCCTAGACCTCAACGCGTGTGTGCGTTTTTCGCTTTGCCTCAGCCAATCAGAGGAAGGGCAGCAACGATTGTTTTCGGGTACTCGCGGGGCTAGTGTAAAGCCTCTCGCGTCCCAGCAGTAGATCGAAAGGGAGCGTTAGGCGGAAGGGAGCGCTGAGTGTCAAAGCGGCGGAGGCGCGGACTGTCACAGCACCCACAGGCTAGACCAAAGGTGGCGTGCAGCGATGCCGAAGGAAATGTTTAGGTCTAAAATGCACGAGTAACCAAATGGTCAGGAAAATGAATATGACATTTACTACGTGTGATATATACAGGGGGCACAGGGGAAGAGTGGGTATGGATCGCGGTTGCAGTGTTGGAGGTAGATTAAGGGGTAATTTCAGTTGGGTGTCGCGGATTCGGGGGCAGAGGAAATATACGGGACGCAGGAATAGATGGTTGGGAGTTAAGGCAGAGGGTGGGTGACAACAGGGCTCATCCAAAGTAGTGTCCGGTGCGACAGCTTTGGGACGGTCCACGCTCAAGACCTCCCCGCGATTTCCGCATGCGGCACAAAAGTTCTTCGTCCCACGAGAGATAATCTGGTCGGGTTCAAAGTACGGCGATTTCAGGGGCCGGCAGACTCGGTCACATCGGAGATGGACGTGAGAGCGTGTCGCCAAGTCCTTCTTGAGGTAAAATCCGGAGATAGATGGCCGGGGTGGAACCGGGAAACGTGTCCGCAAGGATTACCGAAGGCGGTGCAGGAAGTTGTAAGGAGTCTCGACTGCAACCCGCGGGGTTGGCGGGAGCATCTGACCGGGATGTCGGACAGTGGTACCGATCACGAGTTTAGCAACGGAACAATTAAGATTCGACATGAAGGAGGAGCAAATGCCCAACAGGACCAGGGGAGGTGGTGTGTCCAGTTCTTTGAATCGTCTGCGGCACGTAGGGAGGTCTTCAGCTGGCGGTGAAACCGCTCGACCATCCTGTTGGATGCCGGATAATAGACTGTAGTACGGATATACGTACAGCCCGAAAAGGAGAGAAGAGACTGGAAGAGGTTAGATGCGAATTGGGCACCGCGGTCAGTCGTGATAGTGGAGGGGCAACGAAAATGACAAACCAACGACTGAGGAGATTCTTGACGAATGTTGGAGCAGCAACACCGTGCAGGGGGCTTGCGATGCCCAGATCGACATGACTGAACCGTGCATTCGGAGTGGGGAAGATGTTTATGGGAGCTTTATTGTGCCGTTGGATATTACTCCTCTGACAGCCGAGACACGCCCGCGTCCACGCTTTGAGGTCCTTGTTCATCACAGGCCAGACGAGGAGGTTGGAAACCAGCTTGTCGGTAGCTCGACTCTCAGGATGCGGCAGGTAGTGCATGGAGGAGAAGACTTTGCGGCGGAGGAATGGGGGCACGAAGGGACTTCGTGAGGCGGTGGAGACATCATATAGAATGGTATCGTTGCCATTGGTCAGTGGGAGGTCCTGAAGTTGAAGTATTGAAACTTCCTCGTCACAGGGAGAACCGAGACGACGCTGTTCCGCAACCATCTCAACTAGGTCGGTCACGGAGAAAGTTGGAGATGTATGATGGAGGGCCTTGGCATTGTGTCAGCTGTTTCGTTGCGTGACTCGTCGATTTATCGAACTTGTCAGAAGTTGACTGGAGAGCGAACGAAAGGCGCTTGTGGTCCGTGTGCACAGTGATATCTCTGCCCTCAAAGGAGTGTTGGAAGTGTTTCACGGTGCGGAAGGCAGCAAGGAGCTCTCATCCAAATGTGTTTTAGCGTGTCTCGTCAGGTGATAACGTCCTGGAGATGAAAGCTATGGGTTAGGTGTGATTTGCAAGTTGCTGTTGGAGACCCGCGCCTACTGCAACATTTGGGGTGTCAACCATGAGGGATATAGTTGTACAGGGAGAAAAATACGTCAGGAGGAAGACGTTGGCCAGGACAGCCTCCACCCTATCAAAGGCAGCCAGGGCGTCTGAAGACAGCTCGAACGGACCATTGAGGCCCGAAAGGAGGCTCGTGAGCGGTAGGATGATGTCGGCACGATGCAGGAAGAACTGGCGGTAGAAATTAACCATGCCCAGAATTCGCTGCAGCTGACGTTTGGGAGAGGCGGGTGTGAAATTACGGATGTCCGCAACCTTCGATGGAAGAGACTAGATGTCGTTGGAGTCAACCAGATGCCTGAGAAATTCTAAAGAGAGCACACAGAAGACGCAGCTGGACGGACTGAGAAGGCGGTCAAGCACCGTGGCAAGATGCTCCATTTGTCTTCGGCGGTTAAGCTAGCTATTAGAGGGTTGTAGGCGTAGACAAATGGAAGTCCGCGAAGCACTCTGTCTACGAACCTCCAGCATGTCTGGGAGGCTTTGTGGAGTCCAAATGACATGCGTAGGAACTCTAAGAGACCAAAGGAGGGGGTGACGACCGTTTTAGAAACATCTGCTATGGCGATGGGAATTTGGTGCAAGGCGCAGACCAGGTCGATTTTCGAGAACACTGATTTTCCAAAGAGGGTACTGGCAAAATCCTTAAGACGAAGGGCAGGGTAGCGGTCTGCGATGGTAACGTTGTTCAAGGCCCTGTAATCACCACCGGGACGCTTCTCACCAGTGGTGGCCTTTGCGACCATGTGGAGGGCCCATGGGCTTTCAGATTGACGTATCATGCCCGTCTGAAGCAAATACTCAAACTCGGCCTTGGCTGCAGACAGTGATGCGGACGCGAGACGCCGGGGCCGAGAAAACAAGAGAGGACCAGTGGTCCGAATGTGGTGAACAACGTCGTATTGCGGAATAGAAGCTCTTAAGTCGAGACGAGTGAATCCGGTGTATTTGGCGAGGAGTTGCCGAAATGTATTCTCGGGTTCAAAAGCCAGAACGGCGAGCTGACAGGAATTTCCAAAAGAAGAGATACATCGGACGGCGAGGTTGTTGGTCATGTTGTATTGAAGGGACTGACGACAGTCGACCAGAAGAATAAAAGCGACAAGGAAGTCTGCGCCGAGAATGGTACAGGAGATGTTATCAACTACGAAACCCCAGGGGAATAGACGGCGGATGCCGATGTTCAGAGAATGGGAGCAGATTCCGATGATGATAATGTTCGACGTGCTAATGGTCTGAAGGAGAAGGCCGGAATTGGGGTACTGGCGATCAGCTGTGTGGACAGAATGACACTCAGTTTGACACCTGCGTCCATTAAAAAACGCCTGCCAATCCGGGTGTCGCGGGCATAAAATGTACAACTAGGATTAGAGCTTCCAGGAAGATTGGCTGTACTAACCTCCGAGCTGACCCGTTTTAACCGTTTGCTCTGCTTGGTGGTGAATGAGCAGGGATAGATGCAGCGACGGGTTTTAGCACCAAGGGTAGTGGGATGCCAACAGGTGGCGTCTGTGTTGTAACGGGCAGAATGTGCATACCGGACACGCGCGGTAGACGACTTCAGTTGGCTCCGTGATCAGGCGGACATGGTCTTCTTCTGTAGAGATGCTATATCCACGGCCCGCTTGGGAAGTCCGGTTTCTAAATGGGGAGACGCAAGAGAAGTCGAGGGAGTTGAGGGTGCTGAAAGTGACAACTTGGAAAAACCTTGCATCACCATAAGCCGTCCGGCCATCTGAGAAGGTGGGCGAAAGAATGTCAAAAGCGGGTGCCAGATATGTTGTACTTCTGGTATAAAACTGTCCGTGGCAGACGTCTGACTTTATTCTAGATTAGGAAGTAGAAGGATGCGCAAATTTTCGGGACTGTATGGTCAACAAGACAGAGGTTCGCAAATCATAAGTCTGAGAAGACGGATTTCGCTGGACAACCGTTACGGCTGAGGAAGTGCGTACACAAAGGCCCTGCAAACAGTCACCGCGAGCGCTCTCTCCAAGCCAGTTATGTCGTCCGTGTCCGCCGTTGAGGTGCCTAGACCCCAACGCGTGTGTGCGTTTTTCGCTCTGCCTCAGTGTCGTCAGCCAATCAGGGAAGTGGCAGCGTTGATTGGCTTCGGGCACTCGCGAGGCTAATGTCAAGCCTCGCGCGTCCCAGTAGCAGATCGAAAGGGAGCGTGAGGCGGATAGGAGGGCAGCGTGACAAATCAGCGGAAGCGCGGTCTGTCACAGAGAAAAGGCTCTTAATTTTGATCGCGTAGCATACAACTCAGCCCGATTGTTAGTTGATTTTGCACGATATTTACTTTATAGAAATACATGATCCAGTTGCTTTGCGTTTGAAGTGCTCATGGAGTCAGTGGCACACAACAGTGCAGTAATGTGGAGGTGTACCGCCTTGCTGGCAACACATCGCAAAAGCATGTTGTTATTTTGGCACACTTGACAGAAAATCACTGTTGTGTATGGCCACATAAATGTCGCCCGTCATTATTTCTTCAGATAAGAACAGTCCGATGAAACCTAAAGCCCAAGTCCTTATCCAGCTCTGACACCGATGGTCTTGACATTTTTTCTCCAAAATTAGCTGAGGAATTTCAATCCCCCAGGTATGCAGAATTATGTCTTTTGACCTGGTTACTAAACTTAGACGTTTTTCCTCACTCCCAATAAATTTTTACCGGCAATGTGATAAAAAAAACATGTTTTTCAGTTGTCGGTCATTGGCTACTCGCTTTTCCCCCTTCCTTGTTTGTATTTTTCTCTTGAAGACAGAAGCATAACTGTGAATTTCTAACGAGCAAGTCAGTCAAATTGACACCTGCAAGATATGCCCACACAAACCACTTCGACTAGCAGAAGTCGCCTATCGAGCAATTGGTTGTCTGATCGACTGAGCGGATGTTATTTAAATTAAGAATATGCGTGCGTTGAATGTCCGCTTACCAAAGACTCACCTTGAATTTCCATTCTCTGCTGACACCGAGACGTCTTCTCAATGTATGACGTAGTTATTTCACCTCCAATTGTCTTATTTCTATTCTTCAGGTCTTTACACCCCCGAATCACAGAGTGCAAAAAGGCTGGTCGTTCTGTCGCCTTCATGCAAACCAAAATGCCAATGAAGGGCGCTGGCAAACTTAACTTTAAGGAGTCAGCCATATATGTCGGCAATATTACACCAAATGCCATTGAAACAGATCTCATTGACTACTTCTCCCAATTTGGTCCTGTCAAGGATGCCCGGGTTGTAATTGATAATTTCGCGGGCCGGTACCTAGGATACGGATTAGTCACCTTCGCCGACGGGAGCGCCGTGAAGGCTGGTGTTTTGAAGTTCTCCCACTTTCTCTATAGCCGTTGTCTAACAGTGCATCTGGGACTGCCCTTTAATGACTCTTTTGCCTTAACCATCCAATCGTAAGCCCATTTGACTCATTACACAACCTGCTCGTTGGCCTATATATTTCGTGTTTATTCTTCACAGTTAAATGTAATGTTTCTTTTTTGAGACATTGTTTCACTAAGTTTTAGTGATTGCATTCGCTTTCAGAACGTCTTTAATCCCTCTGCGCAGAGGGCACACTCAGCTGCATCTTGCCAGCTCAGCGATAGTTCGCAAGTATTACTGTCATACAGATTACTTTTTCAAGTGTAGAGGCGGTGATCGCGGTATCATCAATAACATATGCCTTTCTTCAAGCATCTGCTCCTTTAAAGCATAGCCGCATTGACATGCGAGGCTCACAGCGGTGATATCTTAACTAATGTTGACCATTTGCGGTTTCCCTCGTTCTTATAAAATTGTTTAGTCGTCTGGTACTCTGCGAGACGAGATCGAAAGAACTAGAGATGCGTTTAACGACAGTTGCTGACAAAGAGCAGACGTTTATCTTAACCAGTCCCGTTTAATTTGATCTAAAGTTTCACGCAAACTTGGCACCTGAGCAGAAGGAAGGAAAAAATATACATGTGTTGAATAGGTTAGTCTGTCTTGTCAGTTATCAGGACTGCTGGCAGTTTTTTTATGATGATTTAAATATGCGGTCGGTTTTTCTTGCCTAGGAAGTTAGGTACCTCAACTTATTTTGCTCTTTCTCCTCCTCTTCCTTAGAAATTTAAGCGGTCTGTCCGGGTCTGGTCAGATAAGGCTTGATTGTTCAACGTTGGATGACGGAGCATAGGGTCGCCTGCCTAACGAGAACCCTATATAGGCATAGGTCAAACGTAGAGGCCGAATTAAGGAGTATGCATTGGAGTCCGACCAATATTTCAGAGTAGATATCTCTTTACCTCCTCATGCTTAAACCCTCTGCGATGCACCAAGTATTTTGACCGGACAGTAGATTACTGGGCCCGATACTCTGAGTAACAAGAGTGACAGGCGATTGGAATAATGTTTTAAAATGCGTGGAAACTTTCTCTTTGGCCGTCTGCAAAAACTGCGCTCTTTAAAAATGACGGCTTAGTAGCATAAATTTCTTTTATCGATTGTTGATGCTGTTGTAAGTTGGAATATAGTTTTAGAAAAAAATGCACGAAAAATTTTCCTGCATGCATTACCTGAAAATAACGTTTTTTAAAAATACACTCGGATTTTGAATAAGGTGTGAATATTAGCTCTTTTAATACCAAGAAACGTAAATTCATACGATCTCGTGAAGCACCTTTACGAAAGCTATTTATCAGGTATACTATCAGGTCAAATTCATCGCGTAATTTTAGGAGTACTATATGACATCTTCATAACAACGAAGAACAGTGTATAATATGCTTTTGGGATATTGTATTCGGCGTGTGGTTTTAAAATCCTGAATGTAAGTCTAATGGCTGGTCGGGTTTAGATTTATTTGGAAACCAGAAAATATTTAAAATTAGAAGGATACTCTCATTCTCACGAAGTTGAAAAACTGAAGAACATGTAATTTGCTAACATCTGAACAAAATAAATAATACTTGTTATATTTTGTCTTTAATATATATTTGAATTTGTTAGAGCCTCGAAAATACATGATAAAATAAAATTTTTTAAGCGGTTGTTTCTACACAATGTGGTTTTTGCAACGTCCGGAGCAAAGTTCATTCGAAAGCTAGTACCATATTGGGACTGAAATATGATTTAGTCGTATTACAGGACAATTACTACTACCATTCTACACAGGCAGTCGCTTCCAATCGAAAACTGATCTTTCGGACTGAAAATGCTTATAATTATGTTATTTCCAGATCTCGAAATGTTCCATTACGCCGCATTACTGCAGCAAGTTTACTGATCCCTCTTAAAATTTGGACAACTAGCTCCACATAGATTACAGAATTCTAGGAGCCCTATACGTCATCCTAATAAAAGCACATAGAAATATATGATTTCTCCTGGACGAAAAGCACGTAGCTTGTATTTCGGAAAACCTGAATGCAACTGCAACGGCAGTGTCGGTTTGAGAATTATTCTAATCATGCATACCGGAGGCGGGGGAAGGGGTAGTTGACTGCACGGCCGAAGGCGCACCTAGGCGTACCACCACACCATCCCCCCGTGCACAGCAAATACTTGACAAGGATTTTAACAAATGACAGCACAACAGAGGATCTCAAGCGTTTTACGCGTGTAGAACAGCTTCTTGGACCTGTGTCAGAGACAGAAACATATTCGTTCAAAGTCAACTGCGCTCCAGACGACCAAAATACGCTAAAGAATAATGTGGTCTAGAATGTGAAATATAACAGGAGTTACTCTGTATCCCTGTTCAAAGCGGCAACTGAGTTTAATATTCATGAGTACTTCTCCAAAGTTTGCAGCGTCACGGACTATCTCACTTTCCGTGAATGTGAGCTCGTCCCCCGTGGTTCCACTGGTATCCATCACTTGAACTTTATAAGGATATCATTTAAGTCAGTTAAAAGAAAAGGGGGAAAATTATCGTGTCTGTTGCAGAAGAACCACGCTCAGTAGATATAATAAGTGCAATATCATTATAGGCAGGAAGAAACTCAGGTATCGCCGCCAGCATTTGCGCGTAATTTCCATTAAAAGATGAAAGATATCACATGTTTTGCCGCGTAGGTTCTACAACTCGTCATATTTACCTGCATACACTCGTTCGAATGCCAACTAGAGTGATCAAATTAAATAAGATACTTTTAAACATTCTATCATATTAAACTTAATAAATTTAAGGAAATATTTCTGTCATCTTACGTTAGGCCCAAAAAGAATGTGGAACAGAAGGCGAGCTCGAACAGAATTTACATTGGATTCATGCCTGAATCAGTAAATATATGCAATCTCTATGAGTACTTCTCAAATTTCGGCAATGTCAAGGAGATTCGCTTGATGAAAGGGTGTCGAGTTCCCGGTTGTGCTTTCGTCGTCTTCCGTGATTTGAACTCGGCAGACAGTGTGCTTAGATATCAACTGCATACAATAAACGAAACACAAATAACCGTGGCTGACACCTGGGACGCCTTGTCTGCATGCACTGGGTAAGCATTTACCCGTCCAAAATGCGGTTGCTCATTTTTTGCGTATCACCCGTCCTGTAAAAACGTGAAAACAATCGCAAAAGGTAAAGATTGCTTCAAGCAATTGAAGAAGTTCTTTGAGAAATATGACTCGCACATCCAATTTTTTGATTCTCCGGGATTTTTGCAGTGAGGAAACAAGCACTGTAAATGTGCTCTTATCAGCATAGGAATCAGTTTTCGTACGTTTTAAAGTGTTTTTAGTAACTCATCATCTTAAACTACCCTCCCATGATTGACAAACAAATCAGGCATACTAAATATCACTGTTCTTGACAGCGCCTCGCCTTCGAACTATTAAATCTGAAATGACTACCAAATGTTGACTAGAGTAAATGAGCCTTTGTCAGGTTTTCTTCAGTCGGAATAAAAAGTAAAGCATTGAAAATTTGGACCGACTAAACAGAAGTAGAAACAAAAATAAGGTGCACATTTTACATTGTACTACGCATTTCTACGCCTAATCCGTGCTGCGGGCATTTAGATCATTATGGAGAAGTATACACAAATGTCTGTTGACTGCAACCTCTGATCTTTTTTCGGATACATTTGAGTAGCATTTATAGGTAGCAGTGTAGATTCGAAACTTGCCTTGTTTAGTATCTAAGGAAATTAATGCGCTTAACTAGGAGTAAATTTCTCAAAACAGACCGAAGTTTGATATGAATACTTGAGCTGAAATCCATCAGCTATTGCGGAATAACCGCGTAATATTCCCAAACCGCCAACAAGCAGCCAGTAGTATATAATTGTGCAATCATTAAACCGTACGTACAACATAGGTATTAGCTAAACGCCCAGACACGCGTGTTTCGCCGATCTTGTGCCGCTCCCTTACGCAGCTGCCAAGGGTTCGGCTCATCAGTGGGTCCTCCAGCTTTCTCCGTGTGTTTTCTGGTATATGAATTCAGTTTCAACTTGCCATGTTTAATTTCCGAGGAAATAAATGCAGGAACGTGAAGTACATCTCTCAGAACAGACCTTTTCAGGTACGGTTGGTGGTTTGTGAATATATGCGGTTATTCCGCAGTAGCTAGTGGATTTCGGCTCAAATGTCCATATCAACTTGCGGACCGTGCATGAAATTGTCTATTCTGGGAGACTTACTCCAATTTTGCGCATTTCTTTCCTCGGAAATTAAAGGAGGCAAGTTGAATCTGGAGTTCATATGTACCAAAAGACACACGAAGAAAGCTGGGAGACCCCTGGCAGCTGCGTCAGGCAGCGGCATAAGATCGGCGAAGAACGCGTGTCTGGGCATTTACCTAATTCCTGTGTTATTAGTACGGCAAAATGATTACAAAATTATCGATTCAAAATTTTCATAAAAAAGTGCTCCATCCACTGTGGAAAGAACATAGGTTAACAAATTAATTGAGAGACAAGAAAGTAGAATGATCGTAGTGAAAATACGTTTTCCAGGTGGCATATCAAAAGAAGAGGAGGCC